GATGAAAAGGGAAGAGGGTGGAACGGTATATGGCAAAGTAAAAGTGTGGGCACTAAAATATGCAGACGATATAGCAATTATTGCAGAGAGTGCCAAAGAGTTAGAGGCCATGCTGGGGTCATTAGAAAAGTATGTTGACAGAAATAAAATGACAGTTAATACGAGAAAGACAAAGGTGATGGTGTTCAGGAATGGGGGAAAAAGAAAGAAAGATGAAAAGTGGAAATTTAAGGGTGAGGAAATTGAGGTCGTTAATGAATTCAAATACCTGGGATATTGGTTCTCTACAAAAAATAGCACTCAGGGTCATGTAAGAAGACTTACAGGGAAGGCACAAAAAGCGGCAAATGCCACTTGGGAGGTCGCAAAAAGGGCTGGTAGAGACCTACGAGGCGACCGTGTTTACTTAATGAACTCGCTAGTGAGAGCGGTGGCACTATATGGGGTGGAGGTATGGGATTCGGAAAGTTGGATAGACTAGGTAGGGTTCAAGGAAGATATTGTAAGATGGCTTTGGGGTAGCAAAAATCACGCCAAAATATATATGGAGGAATGAGTTAGGCGTAGAAGATATAGAGTACACAATTAGGGAACGAATTTGCAGGTACTTAAAAGAGATTGTAGGGATGGGTGAGGGGAGATGGCCTAAAGTGTGTCTAATCGAGGAAATGAGAGGTGTAATAAATAAACATGCATCAATATGAGGAAAAGCGGTGCGGGAAATGTTTGCCGAGATGGGTGTTACGGATGTGTGCAAAATGATTTGGGAGGGAAAGAGTGGGGAAGAAATTTATAATAGATGTATAGAAGGGTTAAATATGTAGTGGGCGAAAAAGTTGGAGGAAGAGTGGGAGGCAATAACAAAGTCATCCTACTATATAATGTACAAGGAGGGGCGGAATATTTAAACAAAATAAATAAAAAGAAAGACGATAAGAAAATGTGGGCGAAAATTAGATGAGGGAATATAGGGAGAGCGAATAAGAAGGGATATAGGGACTGGGAATGTAGGCTATGCGGAGGCTCTGAAGAAACCTTAGCTCACTTATTTTGTTGTGGAGTAGCCATACAGAGTCAGAGTGAGAGAGTTAAAGAGTTCATGAGAGTATTGATAGGTGACAGGTGTGAGCAGGAATTGAGGGGAATGATAATAGAAATGCTGAGAGGAGAAGTATGTGAGTATATAAGGGTATATGAAGAAAAAATGAGAGAGAGTAAATGAATAGTGTTAAGATAGTTAATGTGTAAAACGTAGTAACATAGTATGTAAGTATTCTAAGATAGTTAGCATGTATAAGGACAGAGTGTAAAGGCTCATTGAGCATACACGAGATGTAATAAATAAATAAATAGTCACTGCCCTTAGCATCGAACCTGGTAGGGGGGATGTGGTGTCACAGTGAATGTATGAGAATTGATTAATTCGCCAGAAAAGCCTATTGGTATTGTATTAATCAATGTTATATTTGTTTATTATTATATTTTATTATATTAGTTAAAAGATGGTAAGATTCAGTATTTGCCTACCTTTCAATTAGGTCATCACTGGTTGCATCATATTTTAAGGTAATATCAGCATTGTGAATTTTGTATTCCGACAAAATTGATCTTACTGTATCTAAATCTAATTCTGATTGAGAAACCTTAAAAAAACAATTTTCCTTACGTTATACATACTATTTGTAAGTACAGGTTAAAATTTAATATAACTTTTAAAAAGCTTACCATACAATTCAAATTTATTCCTCCTTTGTCTTTTTTCCGAAATGATATATTTGGTGGCTGTTTGTTCAATCTAAGCCCAAAGCCCTCTAATTCATGTTCAATTAGCCTTTTATGCTGAAGGGGCTTTAAAACATCCAAAACAATAAAAATAAGACTACATGTTCTTGCAACTGCAATTACTTGACGACCTCTACCTTTACCATCTTTTGCTCCTTCAATAATTCCAGGCAAATCCAACAACTATTTTATTAACAAAACATTAATACTATTTCTCTCAGTAAAAGCCAATATTAATTTCATTTAAAATCAATATCATAAATACCTGTATTTTAGCACCTTTATATTTTATACAGCCTGGGACAGTTGTAAGTGTTGTGAACTCATATGAAGCTACTTCAGAGTAAACACCTGCTAAATTACTTAACAAAGTTGACTTTCCCACAGAAGGAAATCCTACAAAACCTATTCTAGCATCTCCAGTTTTAGCCACATCAAACCCTTCTCCAGGACCACCACCACCCCCCTTTGGTGTAATTAATTCTCTTCGTAATTTAGCTAGTCTTGCCTTAAGTAAACCTAAATGACCAGCTGTTGCCTTATTCTTTTGAGTTCTGGCCATCTGCAAACGTTACTTTTAGAGGTTACATTATTTTCATAATACAATTACAGTTACTTACCTCAGCTTCTATAGCCGCAATTTTTTCTAATATTGTACTCATTTTATTGTTTTTTTAAAAATGAAACGTTATGATTTCAAAAATTCTTATAAATATTATTTAACACAAGAAACGTGCAATGTTTAATATGTCGTTAAATTCCAACCTGGTTCATTTATTTTTAATATGAGTTTCTTTGAACTACAGTCCTTTGGGCGTTTGAACTTCTTAATTTTATGGATAATAAAAAATTCTACATTTCTGTATTTTGATATTTTATCTAAAATTCTAAATCTAATACTTAATTCATCTATAGTATTTGTTCATTGGCATTCCGAATTCTTCAAATTTAAAGGTAAAAACTAATTCATTTGTTTCCTTATTTTTAGTTCATAGTATACAAATATGAAGTTGAAAACACATGTACATTTGAACTAAAGATTAGCTTTTCAAATTAGAGGTACAAGAAAAGAGAATTAATTTTTTTAAAGACTTGCACATAAGTAATAAATAATAAAAGAGACAAATGGAAGAAAGTGGAACAAATTGCTCAGAGGATGATGATCCTATCGTAAAGGAA